AGGATTTCCTAGAGTGAGGCCCTGAGGGCTGGGGGAAGGCTTGGGGCTGGGGTCTGTGCAGCCTTCCCAGCACAGATGGCCTAGCATGCCCTGAGCATCGTCAGGGAGTCTGTGGGCCCTGTTAGAAGGCAAAGCCTTAGTGTGCTTCCCGCTCCCAGGAGCAGTGCTCTAGCTTGGGGGTAAGTCTGGGATTTGTGAACCTGCAGCGTCAGAGGAAGGGTCGGCTTACTTCACAGGAATCAGGCCCAGTGAGGCCGAGGGCACCTGTAAGGCTCTCATGACCGTCTGAGTGAGGTTTCTGGAAGGGAAAAAACAGCCCTTGTAACCTTTGGTGCCACTGACACTCACCCAAAGCTGCAGTTTTCTTAAATCACAATTTGAAAATTACAATTTTCCTTACCTTCTTTCCACCTTTATTTTTTGACAACTTAAAAAAAATTTTTATTCATAGTTCAGGCTGACCTTGAACTCCCTTTGTAGCCCAGACTGGCTTAGAACGCTCGACGATCTTCCTGCCTCAGCCTTCTCAGTGCACCACCAACCTCAGCGCCCCCTCTGATGTCTGTGCTGGGTCCCCATCTGGCTCTCCCTCCTCCAGGCCACCCCAGCCCCCGGCCACCCTCCTATTCTGCAACCACCAGCTGCACCCAGGAACCTAGACAGGCAGTCCCAGGCCCTATGCTCTACGCCCGTCCCCTCTAGGAAGCTCTGGGGGCTCCCTGGCATGGCCCCCAGATGGGCACAGAGAATGCCCTTCCCCCTGCCCCGGGGTCAGCACCATTTACAAACTGTCGGCCTGGGCCTGTGGCAGGGTCAGCAGTGGACACTGACTTACTCCGCGGTGCTGCCGGCCTTTCTCTGGCTGAGCGCCAAGACACCTGGAGGCGTCACCTCCCGTCCCGAGGAAGGACCACTTGCCGTGGATCCCACGGAAACTCAGACACGGGGCTCAGCGATGTCCCCAAGGGCCAGCAGTGCCCGAGGGCGGGCGCCAGGGTTCTCAGACTCCTGACCACCAGTCACACAGTCATCAAGGAAGGGCCACCCACTGGGCACACAGGTAAGGCGGCCCTGGGGGAGGAAAGTGCCATAGGGGGTGCAGAGCACGCACACCTGCACACACACCTGCTGGGGTGACTGGGACACTGGGGTGGCGCCAGGACCAGCAGTGAAGGTGCAGGTTGCTCCACTTTCTACCCACACGTGTGAGAGAGCAGGCAGAGGCAGACCGAGCGCCTCCTCGGGGCTAGGAGCCCTCAGGTGACATCGCAGCTGCTCCCTGCTGTCATCCCTGCACCTGGGGCTCACCTGATAGCCACCTCCAGCCCCTCCAGCCCTCTCTAACAGGGGAGCTTCTCTTGTTTCTGTTTTTTCCTTCTTCCTTTCACTTGCTTGTTTGGTTGGTTGTTTTTCTGAGACAGAGTCTTGCTATGTAGCCCAGGGCAGCAATCCTGCTGCCTCAGCCTCCTGAGAGCTAGCATGACAGGCGTGTGCCACCAGGCCCGGCTTTGTTTCCCATGATTCTGTTTTCCTTTTGGGGGTTCACTTTTGTCCACGTGAGGAGCCCATGACAGTCGCAGGCTCCCTGCTAGCAGTCTAACCGTGCTGTACTCGTGAACACACAGACGAGGCTGCATTTCTGGGGAGGCCGGAGAGGGAAACCCTTCAAGAGCCTCTAGGAGCCCTAGGGAGAGGGGACAGATGACTGTCCCCCGTGAGGACCCAGGCGGCACTGAAGGACCGGGGCAGAGGTCTCCCTCCTGACGCAGAGAGAGGACGACCTCCCCGCCGAGGCTGGTGCCCTTGGGCCTGCCCTCTACTTTCCTGGCATTCGATGTGTGGCATCAGTTTGTAATCGAATGAACTTCCTCCAGCCTGTGTGCCACAGCGCTGGGCATGAGAAGGACACAGATGCCCCCCAGAGAGCCACGCGTGGTCAGCAGACAGCTCCGGGGTGGCTCCTCACGGCCACCTGCTTGCTGCCCTTTTGGCTGAGCCCATGCCCATGCGCAGGGGCCACAAAGGCCAGGCGCTCTGGCTGGGCACTGCCGCCCTCCGCGGTTCCCGTGGACATCCCGGCCCCGAGAGCCGCCCCTCCGGCACTCAGTGCTGCTCCTGGCCTGGCGTGGGCTCTAAGGAACCTCTCGGAGGGGCCCCTCACGCCCAGCCCCCAGGAGGTTCTGGCCCACAGCCTTCGGTGCTGGCCGAGGCAGTAATGAGGAGGTGTCGTCCACCTCAGGCTGCCCACGAGGACCCGTCAAGGGTGGCAGGGCGAGTCCAGACACCTCTACACAGGTGCCACCTGCTGATGAAACCTTTCCCGGGCAGCCTGGGGATGTGTGCCAGAGGGGGCGACGTGCTGCCAGGTGCATCTTCGTTTTGGGTTTGGTTTGGATTTTAGAGACAGGGTTTCACTATGTAGCCCATGCTGGACTTGACCTCACGGTGATCCTCCTGCCTCAGCCTCATGAGTGCTGGGAGGACAGCTGTGCACGCCTAGGGAAAGACAGACGTAGGGTGACGAGATCACGCATGCAGTGCTCAGTGCCTTTGACGCTCCCCAGGAAGGGAGGAGGCAGCCGAGGGTGAGGCCAGCTACGAAACCCAGAGATTGCCATGTGCACCCCGAGCTCTCTTGGCCCTGGATGGCGGTGGACAAATAGTCTGAGGGGCTAAACTTCGAACAAAGGCCTGGGTCAGTCAGCCTTGATGCCTCACAGATGGCAGGGGACGTGCTCAGGACGTCCCCAAAGACCTGGCCCTTTCCCGCCTTGACGCTCCCACGCCGTCAGCGGCACTGGGACTGGCAACAGGCACATGGGTGGAGTGACCGCAGTGACAGAGAGGGCGGCCGCGTGTTCTTCCAGCAGCGTGGGGAGGAGGCGGTGCGGGAGGGGCCGGGGCAGGGCTCCACGCCCTCACTGCCCCCAGGCTTCTTTGCCCGGGCAAATAAACGGTGTTCTAAAGCTGCAATTGCTAACCTCCCGGAGGCCAAGGGTTTCCCTGCCCAAAAGCTTTGCCACCGACTTTATCTTGTCTATCGTCTTATAGCTTTCCTCCTGTCTGTCTGTCTGTCTGTCTTTCTGTCTGTCTCTATCCATCTATCCATCTACCTATCTCTCATCTACCTATTACGGTGCCGTTATCTAACCCAGGCCTCACTGTGCTTTGCACCGAGCCGCCTGGTCACTGCTGGCCTTAATGGCGACGCTCTTCCCCGCCAGAAAGCACAGGAAAACCCCTAAGGAAACAACGACTGGAAGAGCCGTTTGCCCTGTCCTTGTAGCCTCTGATATGACTCAGTGTCACCAGGCCTTGATACATTAGACCGAACATATTTCCACCACTCACACACAAAAGTGCTTTCTGTGACCCATTGACTGCAGATCAGATTTTCCATGCTCTAGAACCAGGCGTTTGTGTCTTTTGGAAAATGAACCACAAAGCCTGCCTGTACTGGGGGCCGGGAGGGAGCTTGCAGCCCTCCCGCTGCTGCAGGGCTTTGGGTCCTTGTGTGCTCGGTCCTCCCCAGCTGTACATAGCTTGGGGATCTCAAGGTCAGGGTGGCCGCGGGGGGGATTGTGGAAGACTACGGCGGCGCCCTCCCGCGGCCCCAAGTGTGCTGTGCGTGCGCAGTGCAGGCTGTACGGCGGCGACTTCCTAA